AGTGGATTCAAGTCAAAAAGGATATAAAACTTTAAGCATTTTAAGTGGTAATTTCGTTGCTGCAAATAGTGAGGTAAATGTTGCAAACGAGTTCAGACATCGTTTATCAAGATGACAGGCAACAGCACTATTCCATGAATGGAATGTGATGACTGAGCTCCATGCAAACGCAGGCGTAAAACTCACGCATATCGATGCATATTTAAAAACAGACTATTCTAACCATAGTAGACATCATAGCAGACATTTCTAAGGAGGTTCATCGTACAAAACGCTCCAAACAATAAAAAGGACAGCATTTGTTGTGAACCGGGAATGAGAGTAAATTTGTCCGTAGTTGCAGTCACCACAGTTCCCCGCAAACAGGTAGTTTTTTACATTCGCTCAAATAAAGTAGACTGCGCTACGTCTGTTCAAGCAAACAGACAAGTGTTTGAATTAAGAAAGGTTCAAGAGCATTTGCAAAACAGCCAAAAATTTTGTGACGGTGGCAAAAAATTATGTAAGTATTTTTACTTTTGCCAAAAAAACTGGAAGTCTTGGTTAAGTATAGAGATGCCTTGCACATTTGTAAAGAAGCTCCCATTACCTCGACTCCTTTTTTGACGACAGTCCCGTCTCTCGACTTGCTGTGTATTTCAAGCCGGTTGGGAAAGAGTCGGAGAAATTTGCGCTGCCATGTCTGAAAAAAAGGTCCCACAAGCTTGAGAATGTCGCCTTCAACAATGCAATCGGAGTTCAACTGAGCGGAGTGTGGGTCGACGCTGATTGAGATCTCTCCTGCGGAATAGTCGGAGCTCGAGGTGGACAGGACTTTCTGACTGGAGGATGAGGAGGTGAAGGGGGAAGTGTTGGATGTAGGAGCAGTATTTGAGGATGGAGCGACGGAGTGCTGAGATACCTGATGCTGCTGCTTGGAACGGCGCTTGTTTTCAATTCTATCAGTCTCCTGATTGACCACATCAAATACCGTCTCTGCTATTTCTAGCTGCCATCGCTCAGACACCACTAGTGAAAAATCCTTGTAGGGTTCAAGATCACTTTCAGTCAGCTACAGAAGTGAGGATTAAAATAGTATTTAGGGGCCGAAAAGTGACCACTACGACACCATCGAAAATATATATGTATACAGAAATGGCGTATCAGTTTAGACTTAGCATGACATCAATTCACTGACTTTCGAAATTATTTAGCAACTAACTCAGATAACTCTTACAAAGGTAATAACATTTTAAGTTCGTAAATAGGTTTTTACATTGATAGAACATTGACATCCCAAAATACAATTTCGACTTAAATCCGTACAACAAAGAGATGCGAAAATAGGCTTTGATGATTTATTATCTTTGTTTCAGTTAGGGGAACCTTAATTATTCGTGCGTAATAAACAAGAAGCCGGTGATAAGAAGTAGTCTTCGGCTGAAAATCAGCACTATCACTTCAGAGGTCTGCAATGCAATTCGTATATATACGAAAAGCCATTTAAGATGCACAAGCACTTTTACAGAAAGGGCACAATGAAACAGCAGTCGAAGAAAAATCCCCAAAAGAAATATAAGGAATTGGTAGTTCCCTGACGGCATACTAAAAGAACAAATGATAATCGCTTTAAGTTTTCATGACAGCTTGATAATGCCAATTATTTGCTACTGGTACGGGCGAGAGGTGTGTGCAGAAAGCACACTGAGGGCAAAAGACAGGCGATCTCGTGAGTTAGCGTTCAATGTATCAAAGGACCGAGGTCTGAACAAGGCGAGGTCATGAAGGTAAAAGGAAGGTTGGCTGTGATGCTCGAATTTGTTCTGGTCCTTGTGAAGGCAGCATAGAGTAACCAAGCCTCGATTACACCGTTCGATTCGACGATCTCACTTTAGGACTTGATACAATTTTTACATTTATTATGACTAGATGCAAATAAAGATTTTAATAAAAACATTAATTGCACACCCATTATCTCATTCAACCAAGTTCCACAGATCATTGGGACTGCAGATTAAAAAGACCATGAGCTTATTAAAATAAGCCATTCCTAAGTTATTCTGTTTCCCATATATTTAGAAACCGAATTTTTACTCCACTTCTCATTTCTAAATTATGCTGAATTGTCGTCGAAGTGGGCAGATAGTTTTAGAACACACGTGAACAATCGGAAAAGCCTTTTCAAAAACA